TCAAAAAAGAAAGTGTCATACATGTACTAATGAAAGTACATAAGGTAATTATGAACTTTAACAGAAGGTTTACAGAATAGCGCTTACATATAGATAAGCATTAGAAAAAATATATTTTACCTGACCAGTGATCAAATGAATGCACATAAAAACAATAAGATATCATGATTCCCTATAAAATCTTAAAAATGGAAAAGTTTTTTCTAATACTCAATACTGGTGAGGGTAAATAACAAATATTCATATACATGAATGTTGAGATCATAAGTTGATGCAGCATTCTGCTGAAATTTTACATGTGTAAACTTAATAAATACTTTTTTTCTTGATTTCTTTTAGGATTTACATCAATGAAATAAACCATTTATATTAAGTGTAAAAACATTATTTACATGTGTAAACTTAATAAATACTTTTTTTTCTTGATTTCTTTTAGGATTTACATCAATGAAATAAACCATTTATATTAAGTGTAAAAACATTAATCACAGGGTTATATATAATAGCACAAAATATAAAGCACCTTAAATCTCACAATTATAGTATTCTCTTTCATGTGTACATTCTATCTACTATCTATCTATCTGTCTACCTGTGTATAATATTAAAGAGAATGAAGGCAGAAAATAAAATTACTAAGCCAGGTTGATAACAATAGTAATTGCTAGGCAGTGAAACGATGCTTGCTTTTTTTTTTCCATAGTTTTTTATAAATGTAATGTTTTTCATAACAAGCACATAATCCCAAGAGTTTGGGTTTTTTTGTTTGTTTGTTTTTTAAGGAAAGCATGTGCTCATATTGCTTTTGGAATTTTAATTTGGCAAGACTATTCGGGAAAGCAATTTGTCAATCCATATTAAAAATTCACAAAAGTATTTTATTAGTACACTTTATTTCAGTAATTCAACTTCTAAGAATCAATGCCAAGAAAAACAGCCAGAAAAAGGAGCTAACATATATTTTAACACTGGAGATGATATGCATTACTTACAATAATTTTGGTTTTCAAGTATGTATACAATATTGACATAATTATTTAGAAGAAGAAAAAAGAGGAAGACAATGAAGGAGAAGCAAGACCTTCATTCAATCCCCTGGCAGCTGAGAGATACCTGGTCAAGTTATTTTCATTTGATCTAAAAGCAGGGGATGAGGGAGTGGAGAAGAGACATATATTGAACCACAGTGCAATATAAATTCTTGTTATACTGTGCAAATTGTGTAGGAAATCATGTACATCCATCTTCCCACCAACTGGAACTTGGACAAGGGCCAAATGCAATCAATTCTTCCAAACTACTGGTTCACTCCAAGCCAAGGTAGATTTTACCTGGCCCTCGAATGAGTAATGAGGAATAAACCAGTAGAATCTCTGATAAACATAAGAGGAAGAAATCATCACCTAAAACAAATTTACAAAATCAGATGAAAAATGGAATAATGAAGTATTTCCATTCAGAAAAGGTAAAAACTCAACTGCAGAATAAAAATTCACATTATAAATGCTATAACAAACATGGAAAGCTCTACTTACAGTAAGAAATGAAGGAAGAAAGAGTTCAAAATATGAACGGAAACATATATTTGACAGGGATTAATGCTTTACATTAAAAATGGTTGCTGTTCTGGGGGAAGCAATTTTTTGAGAGGGGAGAGGGCAGCAGCTACAATAATTAAGCAAATAATTGCATACCAGGTTTTGCAAATGAAAAATGCTCACCACAACCTAGAGAAAAATCAGATAATGAAACTCACCAAGACATTTCCTAGAAACTCGTTTGGATTTCGATGAAAGAGAAAAATATCCTAAAAATATCAAGGCAGAAAATCCAAGTTACAAATCTCTATTTGTAGGAAGGAATAGAGTTCTGATGACTTCATATTTCTCTTCTAAAACAAAACATTAAATAAAAGTGTAATGAATGAAGGTTATAAGTGGAAGGGTTTGTGGCATAATAATTTGATACCTTTCCTAAAGTATGTCACTCATAAATGATATAGTACAGTTCCTGACATTGTCACAGTTAAATAAATGTTAGATTTATTGAAGACAAATCCAGAAAAACTCACAGTATAAAAAGATTGAAAGTGATCATGAAAACAAATTAGACACTGATTTACATTTAAATATTACGTAACTGGGTAAAACAAAAATGCAATATCAAAAGTTATTCTTTTACAGTATGTCCAAATTATACTAATTAGATCGAAATTTTGGTTAAAAAGAGAATAGAGGAAGTAAACATGTTGCAAAAATTCCTCAAATAAGGTATTTATAAGATTTTAATTTTTTTGACTTTAATAAGTGGATAAATATAGGCTTAAAAAGATATTAAAAACCTTAAATGTTAACTGCTGCACTATATAAAATAGTAGACATAAACTTCTACACACTAAAACATAAAACTATAGCAAACAATGTATATATGCAAAAGGCAAGGTAAAATGGAAAAGGAAATATACAATAAAAGGCATAAAACAAGATGATAAAAATTACACTAGAGAAAAAATATAGATGATATGTGAACAGCAATGAACTTGTGTAAACCCTGCCTATTAAAAAGCAAAAAAGTTCTGCTTTTATAAAAAAATACGTAAAGGAAGTACACAGAAAATTTTAAATAAAGGGATAAGTAAGTATATTCTACACAAAGTAAAAGGAAAGTAGTTTAGTGTGTTATATTGCAATGATGGCTCCAATTCATCACTCTTTCCTGAATCCATGTCATTTGCCTTGCAACTTTGAGTTACATCGTAAGTGGGGTAACTTACCCCACTCCTTGAGATAGACATAAACATAGGACTTGTCCTAGCAAATTGGACCTTAGGAGATTTAATGCAAACAGAGGCTTGAAATGAACTTGCACGTAGGGTCTTGAATTCCCTCACCTGTGTCACCATCACAAAAACACCCATAGTCTGGCCTGCTAGCAGACAAGCGACAGATGAAAAAGAGTAAAGTTTTCCAGTGTGCTAGTCACTAGTCACCCCAGCTGACTGACAGTCAGTCAACAGCCAGACATGCTAGTGAACCCCACCAAGAAGAGCAGTGCTTCCTACCCAACTCCCATCTGACTCCCACAAGCGTGAGCAATAGCTGCTTACATCAAATGGACTGAGGGTTTAGGGTTTTATTTATTTATTTTTTTTACTTTAGCATTATTGTGACATCATATAATTGATTTCATTGCCAATATTAATATCAGGTAAAGAGAATAAAAACAAAGGTTATCAAATGATAGAAAACAGCTAAACTAGTGTATTGTCAAACTCCTAAAGAACATTAAATTGACTTAATCCTGTTAGATTTCAGGAATAAAAATAAAAATAAAATTTTAGGCATCCAAAACTTACAGTGATCCCCAATAAGTTTTTTATGGGTTTTTGTC